TTACTTCTTTATTGAATTTTATTAATGGAGTATTTGTTTTTTTAATTATAGCCATTGTCTTTTTTTATACTCCTTCCGTCCCAATTTAAATTACATGTTTTGATTTAAAACGTTTAACTGAAATTATTTTCAATACAATTTACCAGTTCAAGATCACCCATCGGCCGCATCTATCCCTAGACTTCTAAGTTCCAAATATCTATTTGTATATAAAGTAGTTCTTGAATTATAAAAAGGTCTTGAAGTTGGTATGAGGTAGAGAGGTATGAGTATGAAATAAATGAAGCTACATTTGTTGAAAGAAAATATTTAAAGGTGGAAAAGGAATTACTCATGTTGGGTTATGGAACCCGGGGGCCTGGGAGACTAGGCGAAAGAGTATCGAACTAGAGTCGAGCATACTCAAGTTAGGAATCAAATAAGATTGCAAGAGTTAGTGCGTAAGAGAACGTGCCTTTTCCCTTCTTTAAAAAGGGGCTTATATACAAGTTTACAAACAAGGCTCTCTGACCGTTGGTCTAAAGTCCAACAGATCAGGCCCACTATGATCTGGCCGTGTAACCGGCGGCGCCAACCATATCATTATTCCTAGGGTGGCTATACAAGATAGGTTACAAGTAGGGTGGCTACAACTAATCTAACGGAGGCGTGGCAGGGGTACAATCATGGGTCTACTGACTTGACTAGTCACGCAGCTTCCATGCTATGTGGTCCCAGTCCAGCAGCATCCTAAGCCGAGGTCGAGTACACAAGATCTGCTTCTTGAAGATCGACTTCCAACGGGGAGTCGACCGACCGTGGTCTGAGGCTGAGCGTGTCACCCGGGGCCGAGCGCGGGTAAGTCTCGATGCGGCAACTCCCCTAAGACTTCAATTTCTTTCAGTTCTGCCCAACCGAGTGGGCCTGGTTCTAACTGGGTTGGGCCGCTATTCCTGTTGGGCCGGATACCTCCATTCCATGGTATCCATCAACTCCTAGTTCTAACATATAGAGATTTTGATTATATTTATCGATTGACATGTTATTAGAGCTTTATTGACCAAGAGATCTTAGAGCTTAATACTCGCTCATAGGCGTGTCGTAGCACCTACAAATTAATTTATTATTTTCCTTAACTTTTAACCCCCTTTTTGAAATAATATTCTTTAAAACATATAGATAGGGCAAGTAAGGGTCGATCCCACGAAGAAAGATATTTTTTAGGCTATGAAAATCGGTTTACTTTATCATTTTATATTGAGTGAAAACAACTACTAAAATCTATAAACTAACTTAAAAGATAGGGGGGGGGGGGGTTGAAAAAGTGTTTTCTAAATAAAGTAAAAAAAACTAACTAAAGTGACACACCACACCAGAACTAATCTCAAAACAAACCAAGGATAAAAACAGAACATAACTCCACCAAAAAGCCCAAACGAAGAAGACAAGCGCACATAACACAATAATTTAGACACTTAAACAATTTTAGAAAACCAACAAAATGTTTTATAATATAGAAAATAAATATCTAGGATCAAAACTTTGTTAAAAACTAGCATAATCATCAACCAACTATAAATTAAAACAAGGGTCCGGCTGAAAAAGAGGTCCACCAACGGTTCTTTCCTATTTTACCATTCATAAAAGCTCATGTTAGGACCAACCCTAATTCTAAACCCTACTACCCTTAGCAACCCAAAGACCAACCCTTAGATTACTACTAAGAATAGTGCATTAAGATTTGTGGAAAACATCACCCTAACAATTTTGCAGTAACACGAAGGTTATTTAACAAAATCAGTTTGAGAACCTTGATTAGCAAAAACCACTTAACGAGGCAGCCTAGGTTAATCAAGTGACACTTGGTTTCTAGAAAAGTTCGGCTATTTAAAGCACTTTGGACTTTAAAAGAATATCATTTTAAATTGGATTAGGTCGCGATCCTAATTTGACCCAACTTAAGTAAAATCAATTGAAAAGTAGTTCTCAAACACCTTTGAAATAACTTAAAAGTAGCAAAAACTGGAATTATTTTAAGAGTATTAACTTGAAGTAAATGTTTAAACCCATAGACAGATTTAATTTTAAGCAACAAGATTCAATACTTCTTCCAAAAATTCTGGTTTCATATGT